TGTGGTCTGGCGACTTTGACACAGAAGGGACCATTGGAAAGGCTCGCACCCCCAATTCATGTACGATTCTGTACAGGCCGTGGAATCTAACATTCAAATTGTCTTTTAGATACTGTACGTATGTGCTATGCTGTGGTACCGAGAAGAATAGCGACGGGATCATCGCTGGGCAGAGACGGACCACAGACCAAGCTATTCTCGACTAACTCAGACATGGGCCAGGGGCAGAGCTACACCCCTCTAGTATTGACCTTACCTATGACTGCGATGTGGACGGTCTGGACGTTATCGCGGAGAATCCGGGCCGTCGACTGATTCTTCCGTCGGGCCATGAGGGCAAATTCTCTTACCATGGTGCATTGCGACCGCTCAAACGACTGCTCTGCAATATGACGCACGGATCAATCCGATAGTCGAGACTCGTCTGTGCAGCTAGATCTGCAAGGTCTTTGACTGGTTTGGGGTAGCTGGCGGCTGAACCATGACGATCAGACGCTGAGGCAGCTGCTGGCCTCCGTGCTAGATTGGATGATCAAGGACCTCTTCAAGGCGATGATCTCCTGGTTTGGAAAGGGTTCAACGCGCTGAGCTCATCCCACGGGCCAGTGCAAATTCCAGTGGCACATTGGGAATAGCTGAGTGATGCCACAGCGCGATAGAACGACGGACGTCGACTTCTCGCAATGTGCCGTCGTGCAGTATGCGACCAAGCAGCAGTACAACTGCAGTGCTGTAATGCAGCCGAGTCTTTAAACCGTCGCGACAGTCAGGCTGATGGGCTAATTGTGTATCCTTTGCAACAAGACCCGACGCGCCATCCAACGGGAGGCAGATTGCTGCTCAAAGCGCAAACCGATTAACAAGCTTATACCCATCGAAGTTCAGACCGGGCTGGAAGGTGATAGATAGTAAATACGCTGACTGCCATGATCAAGATGTGGAGCGGAGCTGACAAGAGATGCAGTGACATGAGCAATCACGAGGTTGCGGACGTTTCCTTGACACAGTACGATCGCGATTAGAGACTGGATTTGGACGCCATGGTCGTCCATGCGTGCTGCGCTTTGTGCTGTGAGATTAAACATTGTGACTAGAGCTGACCGGTTTCTTTACCGGAGTTAATCCTACCGAGTGGCGTACTTGCATGAGTGGAACAAGGCGGCTGCTGTTATGCTCGTCACAGAGATGCTAAGCCTTGCGCTCAGAAACATCAGCCAGGCATGCACTGGTCTGTTTGTAGCCCACTGAGTTACACGTGGCTTGAACTTTCAGTTTCTCCCACATCGGTCTACACTCAGAATCACAGCGTGTAATAAGCCAGCTTCGACGCCTAACAGGACAAAACAAGAGATCGCAAACAGAAAGCAGTCAAGACCGTTAGAACTGAGAAGCGGAAATTTGCGAGTACAAGCATGGTCTGGCTACCGCAGTGCGGTGACCCGACTTCGGCCAAAAGGGTTTGTGGTCACTGCAAGTGAGTCACTTCGGCTAAAGCTTGAGTCCACTCACAAATCCACCATTTCATCAACGGGTTATGAGCCCTCAGCTGCGATCAGCTTGGCTCTACCGTCTTGGTCAAGAGATGCATCATTCTTGATGAGACTATCAACTGAGCGCTGGCAAAGTTCGGAAGCTACGGAAGCGCGGATCTAAGACTAGTGGTGTGGAGGTTCTCATTTAAGAAACCGGTGATGATCTTGTTCGATGTCAGCATGAACAGCGCTTCCCGCACTGTTTTGCTTCCCCAGAGCTTCTCATTTACTGCACTCAATATTGCAAACCTCAGTGAGCGAGAAACAAAAATACTGCAGATTCACATTCATCAGCGTGGTGGGATAGTAACGCGGAGAATGCCCGGAACAGTCCATGGGGCACAAAAGGCCCAGTTGAGAAGCCATCATCAACCAACCGCCATCTGCAAACTTGGCCATCATACGGAGTTCGTATGTCCGACTGCTGGTTCTACCTAGCTGTTAAGTTCTTAACGGCACATAATAGAATCACCAACTATTCCGGTGACTTTGACACCGAAGGAAGAATCTGAGTAAACCGGGTTCCGTATGGCCGAACGTTTGTCTTCGAATTGCATGATATGCAAGTATTCAGGATGGTATGTTCTTTGTAAACAGCCTCTAACGCGAGTCCCGAGAAAATCAGCCACTTCGGGACTCTAAGACCTTTGGGGATTCTCAAGTCCGCTGCTGAAGCTTTCGATTCACTTCTGGCCGCCAGATGCGCTAAAAGCTTTCCCTCGCAGTGACCAGTATCCATGTTATCGTCATGCTCATCATCATGTTGTAGACCTTCGCACAATAGATCTGGTACCTTGTACTTGCACCATTTTCACCGTGTTCATCATCTTGGTTCTTTCGCATACTATATTCACTGAAGCAAGAATCGATTCTCGTGGAGATCCCAAAAGAAAAGCGATATTGGAAGAAGCTACGGAGTCAATATAACTCAACCCAGAACATTGAATCCCGGCGAAGACAAGGAAGAGGAGATATTTTCTGCAGCAAGTTTTCAACACCGCCGACTCGATGGGACAGACAATCAGTATGATGATCATACAGAGGCTTGCGAGAATCTGGGCATTGTAAACCAGAACAAAAGCCCCGATCCAAGGGAGACCCGTACAATGTCCTCCTCCAGATTTTGCAGGTATGCCACTGCCAGTAAGCTGGCCACAAATCGGCCTTAATATTGGCGTCCGCTAGAATCGGCGGAACCTGGAACGCAATCGTGTTCATTCTTCTTGTGTGCTGGCAGCCTCGACAGCCATGACGATGGAAACCACGGCGACAGAAAGGAAGTCAATTGAAAGGGTTTTAATCAATGCTATTGAGGATACACCGAGATTTCGGTCTTCCGTGATAGTGGCATCACCCCAATTCGATTGATCATCGGGCACGGAAGATCAATGCTAGCAGATGAGCATTCGCAGAGCATTTCAGAGGAAGTCGCCCATTTTCCATTCCCTAAGACACCGGAAAAGAAATTGCTCAGATGTCAAAATCTGCCCTCGTGAGCGAATCTATGAGTCCCGTCCCTCTGGAACCGCACAAGACTTCGACAAACGGTGACGCCATTAGTACTACTGAACCCCTCCAACATGTCGGCCAATCAGCTGACTTTTTCCGGCGTGCCGAGCGAGAATGTGACCCTTTGTATAAACCAGTGCGATTTTAATGGTTGATCACATTGTTGACAGTCGAGGACCGAAACGAGGCAATTGCAACTTCGATAATAATCGGCCTTTGGGACAGAGCAAGACATTATGCCAGCATTCTGTTAATGGGAACTTAGAATAATTGGAAATTGTTGGCGGAAGCGCGGAAGAAGAGATGCCCGACAGAAGAGCCAACCAGTTATAAGCTTGCGGAATTACGGCAAGGTTTCAAAGAACTGGGAGAGTATGTTGAAGATGCTCAGGAACTGCTGCATACGCTACCAACAATACTGATGTCTAAAGTTCTTGGCGCCACGGAGAGATGGTTCTTTGCTCAAAAGGACCATTCCTTTATCGGTACCCCCATCGACCAGTGGCCGCTGCCCAAAGACCTGTTGCTACGCCTAGCAAAAATTGAACGTTGACAACTTCTGTCCATATCCATTTCCTTACGCATACATCTGATATTTCCTTGCGCACACGCCTCGACTATACCGAGTTCATTAATAATCGTCCACGTCTCCTTCCGTACACGTCTATGCAGATTGCTCTTTACGTTTCCTTTCACAGTCTCGACTATGTTGTTTTTATTCGTTTCCAAGTCACGAGTGCCTCGAAGTCTCGGGTGCCTCGAGCTTTTTCTTCTTCTTTTCTGCTCGTCTCGCGTTTGTGCGTGCCTTGCTTACGAGCCGGGGGGGAGTGTTGGCCGCAACCCTGAGCGGGTATTCTGCCACCACTGACCGCTTGCCCCCGCTTCCTCGGGCGATCTTTGATGTATCGTACATAGCGTAGATAGGAAGAATGAACAAGCATCCATGATCCATCATAAATCTCGCCTCGACCGGCTTCTGCAGCGGCCAACTGCCGCGGTCAACATTAGTGGTGCGGCAGGGTGGTCAAATGAGTGCTACCAGGAAAGAACGGAGCCTCAAACGACAGCTGAATCTTCTCCAAGCAAGAACAGCTCAAAGCAAAACGGGAAACGTCCAAATGGCGATACAAGACCATTGTTGAGGCTGACCAGATCCGCGACGACTTCCACAATCTCATGCTGCAAGAACTAGACGTCCGTAGGCATGCTCGGAAATGCTGCCGAATTCTCGCAGATTCTGGACTGGTGCGAGGACCCGACGAGCAGGCCGAAGACCTTAGCATTCAGCGCGGATGTGAGAACTGCGCATGCAGCCGGTGAAAGCACAAATGCTCATTCCGTCCATGAATCGAGTGTGTTCGCAATCCCTAGACAGTAGGGTACCACTTAATCGAACGCCCACAAAGTGTTTCTCACACGGAAAGAGAGCAACATTTTGGATCACGCAGAGAATCAGCGCTCGCTTTGCTAAGTCCACATTAGGTCACAATGAACATTCTCCGACCTCAACGTGGGCTACCTGATCAGGGTCCGTTACGCGAATGTGGGATTCGACCGAATTCAGAGAAGGGTGATCTAGTGGGGTGATGACCTTCGCAATTGACATGCGGTCTTTCGCTTACAACCGAAAAAGAAGTGCCCAACATCACCCCCATGAAAGCGAATGATAAAGAGAAAACTCCAACCAGGGTTTCGCGTATCTTGCCAGCTCACAACCCACGAGAGAGGGTCGTACACATCCTGCTCATGTCGATGCTACTCCACGGTCTACATATAACCCAGCCCCCACGGTACTGAGCTGCACGTCCGAAGTCAGAAACACCTTCGATATAATCGGCAGCTGGAGATAATCAACATATGCTAAATTGCGAGAACATGCCGAGTGCTGTCCTGCCGTGAAAATGTGGAGAGATGCCGAAACACAGCTCGGAGTCTCCACACAGGGCATTTCGGCGGAGCATGCGCCAAATGCAGATGGCCCGATGCCTGGCGTCGATTGCTCACGCTCCTAACATCACCACCGCCATCCCCGGGATGGGTATCGATTTGACAAGCTCTGGTATCAAGGCTTCTACCAACTCTACCGCGTATGCTACACCGGCAACTATCGAGAAATAATTCGAGTTAAGTGGCCTTTTCTGTCAAGCCCCCGCCAGCGCGCCCGCAAGCGCTACAGGCCACTTTCAGGCCAGCGCCCTCCTCGGCGCCCCTTCGGGCAGCGAGACCCAACACGGGATGCTCTACAGCAACTGCAACCTCCTACTGTCATTGTTGGAGATGAGTCCGCGCTAGGAGCCCGCAGAGATTCCCCTCGCTTGAGATGTCCTTTACTCGCGTGCAGACCGACCTGGCGCCGAAGCAAGAGCCGTGAGTACCAACATGAAGCAAATGCGCACACCTCATCAAACCCATTACTGGTGGTGACTACACTACAAAACAGTCACCATCCCTTCCGTGAGGAGAACACGGTGCCACGAGTCTGCTGAACGCATTTCGAGAATTGCGGGGGATCCTTGAAGAGAAAAAGGAGCACTTTTTCTCTACGTCAAAAGGCTGTTTGGAGTACTCCATGGGGCTCAGGAGGCAGGCAGGCAGGCAGGTTGCTTCTACCTGAGGTTTAATACGACTTTGGATACCATAGCACTTTTGAATTCAGTATTGGTCTCTTTGTTAAGCTTCTCCCGATCTCTGGCAATTCCAAGCTCATTGCCCATGGCATGTGACTGACTAGTATGATCTTTTTTACCGTACATAAATAACTTGGTTGTCAGTTGCTATTTGAATGGTAATGGTAATCTAGGGACAGGGGGATGGAATACAGTTGCACTATGTCTGTCACACCCTTGCTTTGCTAGTGTTATAGTGCTGATGCTTGCGTTGAACCGCTGACCTCGGTAGAACGAGAAGTCGTTATATGATCGTCATGTTCCGGCCAGCTTTTTGCCTTTTTCGTTCCTTCCCCAAAGTACTTATGAGTGAGGTTGCTTTCCTAGATATGTAAAAGGCTGAACGTACTAGGATGGTTCGATGAGAGGCTGGTAGTTCGGGCCAAGCAAGGGGTCGTGTGGTGGGAGCCGATGCGAAAACAAAACCCAGCCCGCCACAAAACGGCCGGCCATTTTAATGGCTAGAAGATATAGGGCAGCGCGAAGACAAACTGATAACGACAGCAGAAGAGCTCACTGCTGCACAGAGAACTGGTCTGGCCAGCTGTCATCACGGTTGTATACACTGCGACCACATTCCTTATCTCTTGGCGTATGAACGATCGGTATTTGGGGGATCGTTCTGGTGATGCAATAGGCCAGCCCCGTAGGATGCATTGTTTATTCCCCGCACCAAAATGTAACGCCTCGGGCGTGGTGCAACCCCCACTCCAGAGATTTCTTCAGAAGATTGTTTACTGTCGACCCAGCTTGCTATGCCTGTTTCTCGTGAACTCACTTCCACAGCGGCGGTATGGTTGACGACTACGAGTTCACGTTATGAAGTTTGTGGCTTTTCCCTATCTGGCCGCGGTTGCGTGTGCTCTTCAGGTTCTTCCCCCTGTAGCGTGGAATGCAACTGGACTATCAGAAAACGGGTTCGACATCAAAGCGATAGAAAGGAAAATCTTCATCACCAGCAGTTTTTCGATTCGTCGGGATGACAATGGCTTGACACTGATTCCTCCCTCTGCTGGGGAGTTTGCAGAGACCTTCCGTCAGGACCTGCAGGCAGTGACAAACACGTCTTGGGTGCTCCATACGGTAGACGCGTTTTCCGATAGCGAAACAGGAATATTTCTGGACAGCGTGGCTCAGCAGGTCAACTTGACTTATGAGAACAAGGAGCCGACCGAGGAAGGTTATGAGCTCGTGTTCAGTGCTGGTCGGGCATACATTCGCGGCTCTGGTGCTCGAGGGATGTGGTGGGGAACGCGAACATTTCTCCAGCAGTTGCTGATCCACGACGTGGGGATCGTTCCAGCCGGACGGACCCTTGACGCGCCTTCATCGGTCACGCGGGGGTTTCTTCTCGATGCGGGTCGGAAATGGTACTCTCCCGGATTCCTCAGGGACTTGTGCACGTACGCCTCGTTCTTCAAGCTGTCTGAATTCCACTATCACAGCAGTGACAACTACCCATTGAATCGCGGACATAACGAGACGTGGTATGAAGTTTATTCGCAATTCTCCCTGCGGCCCGAAAGCGCGGAATTGCAGGGCTTGGTGCAGAGGCAGAATGAGACACTGTCACGGGCTGAGTTTGAGGACTTCCAGTATCATTGCGCGCAGCGTGGAGTGACCGTTATTCCTGAGATCGAAGCGCCCGGCCATTCTCTGTCGATCACCAAGTGGAAGCCGGAGCTGGCGTTGGAGCCGAAGGATCTGCTCAATTTGACGCACCCGGATACACTGCCGCTGATCAAGTCGATATGGACAGAGTTTCTGCCGTGGTTCCAAACAAAAGAAGTCCATATAGGCGCGGATGAGTACGACTCGGCATTGGCGGACGATTACATTGACTTCGTCAATGAGATGGCTGCCTTCATGAATGAGACTGCCGGCAAGAGGGTTCGCATCTGGGGAACGTACGAGCCGTCGAACACCCACAACATCTCCAAGAATGTCATTATCCAGCACTGGCAGTATGGACAGTCAGATCCCGTTAGCCTCGCAAGAGATGGTTTTGAGTTGATCAATTCTGAAGATTGGTGGGCATACATGTCCCTGAAGAATGATCACATGCCCATCATCCCTGCTCCATATCCGCCATCGTTCAATAATACTAGATTACTGAATTTCGGGGGGAGCAACGGCCTGCAATGGACTCCACCGCTGTTCAACCCATACAATCTCACGAAGCAACCGGATCCGAGGCGTGTTCAGGGAGCCATCATCGCAGCCTGGAATGACAATGGTCCTGACGCGACGACGCAGCTGGAAGCATATTATGCTCTTCGTGACGGTATTCCAACGTTCGCGTCTCGTGTGTGGGCGGGTAACCGTGGGCAGGAGCTGAATCTATCGAGCTTGTCAGAGACTATGCGCGTGTTGACTGCGAATGCGGTGGCGCAGAATCTGGATCGGCGGCTTTCTGGAGCGATGGATCTAGATGGAGACGTACTAGTCAGCTGGGATGCAATGAACGAGAATGCCACGACAAAACATCACTTGGGATATGGGAGTAAAGGGATGAACTATTCGTTAGAGCTGAACGTAACGGGTCCGTTTACTCTGTCCTCCGACGATGCGACGCTCAAGCTGGGATCCGATGGTTCCTTAACCTTCGTGTCGGACGGGTGGGAATATCCTCTCCGGTCTGTGTCCGAGGCCGATGGATATGATCCTGCGTACCCAGGTCGTATATGGGTCAACGAGACGACCTCCACGCATGAGCCGGTGACTGTGCCGTTGGGAAGTCTGATCACGATCCAGACGGATGTTGTTGGTGGAAGTCGCATTTGGATCGATGGTTTATTTGTAGGGAGGTTTGAGGTGTTTGTTTTTGGAGGGAAGAACACTTTGTTTTCTTGGAGTCAAATGGCGTTTGTCGCACCATTAGAATGGGTGGAAGGGGGTGTACGCCACTTGCGACTAAAACCTTATGATGGGAATGGCAATCAGTATTAGGATACTTAGTGAAAGAAGTTGTTCAAGTTGTTCTTGCAGAGTGCCATCAAGCGAATACGAACGGAATCTCCCCCCGTGTCCTTACGTATGTGTGCCAATCAAGGTTTGGTCATTATAAGGTCCATTCTAAGTCCGCACCATATAAAGTCTGAATGCAACCTGAGTCATCATCCCTGCTCTGCTTTTCTACCACGCACAATCAGACCATCGCATTACATCCTCATATGACCTCCTTAAGTATGTGGACAGTCAAGAGCCGAGACCTGCTAAGAGAGCTGGGCCCCTGAAAAATCTTCATCCTCATCGAGTCCTTGCATGCCGCCGCCTGGTTAGGGGCGTGCATCTGGTTCAAAGCCTACCCACCAGCAGCAATCTATAACCACCCCAGCCACGCCGACTCCTCCTCCTATAAGCCCTGGATGGAGATTGGCTGGCAGATTTATTTTCACACCTTAATCCTGGATATCGTATTTTGGGCCACCAGCATCTATCATTTATACGTGTGGTATCGATGGCGACTGGGTCGTTCCCTCAGTGTACGCCAGCGAGCGCTGGCTGATCTCGCCTATCTCCATAAATTTTGGTTCAGCTTCGATGGCCCATGCTCCGTTGTCACCCACCCGATAGATGAGGCAAAGAAGCAGCAGCAGCGGCAGCAGGAGGAGATTGAAAAAGAGGAGAGCGCAGTACTAAGAAGGCTGCTGTCATCAACTCCGTTGTGGAAAATAGAGGCAATGTTCTGGTGCCGTATGCTTCGTTTTCTGTTTCATACTGCCGTTGCTGCAATTAGGATGGCACTTGATGGTAACAACCGGGCCCGGCGGCTTGCGAGTAGCTTGGTGATTCCGGCCTGGCTTATGCTAGCATGTGTGGTGGGGATTCAGGACTCGGTGCGGAGGCGGATTCGTTGAGTGGGACGCCTCCAAGGGATTGCAGATGTTGGAAGTGCAGATAGGGTGAGTCTTTTTGTTTTCTTTGCGCATACTTGCGTGTTGTCTGGGAGGATGTATCAATCTGACCACATGGCATCTGGCAGGTCGAGACAAGAGAAGAGATCTGCAAGTGTGGTTGACGGAGCTGAATTCAGGAAGAGGTTTGTGTGGTAGAATGTGACGTTGCAAGTCAGTTGTTAGAGACTTGGCTCGATTCGCTTCAGGAGACATATATGATCACGACAAATTATCACTTTTCCTGGAGTGGTGATGTGACGAAGGCCCTGCGACCATGTTGGCTGAGCCGCGTTCTGGTTAGGTTTACTTTGATAGTATCCAGGCTACATTGCTCATCTTGCATCGTGCTAGGAGTTCGGGAGTTTTCTTCCTTATTGAACTGTTCTTTTCTGAGTTCCAATCATTATTTGGTTCTCTTTATTCTTTTGCATATTGCTAGACGTGCAGAAATCTTTTTCTAACACTCAAGAGATAAAGCCCTTCAACAGATTAGCATAGATTGTTGTGAGTCTACAAAAGATCACGATATAGATACCTGAGAATTCTATTCATAGAGAGACTTACTGCAAACCGGGAACAGCTCGTCACAATGTGATCAGGATATTCCTGTGATCTGAAAGATGTCGGAGAATAATTAGATACAATGTGTATTGTATATAAAATTGCAATCCACAGAGTATCCTCAGATTTGATCAGCTTTAGTACTAATAATCAAATTTAGTACTCTTGTCAAAAATATTTCTTTTGTTCTACTATTTTATTATTCTAAATTTTATCATCATTCTGCTCAAATCAAATTATATATTATAGGATTCTTCATTTTCTGCTACTTCAAATTAAGTCTTTTATATAGTTGATATCGGCCTTGTGCGTGTAACGCCTCCGTTCAGCGAGGTCATATGATTTTAGACAGAATTGTATAATAAAATGACGACTAGTATCAGTTTATGACGCTTACAATAATGCAAAGATTATCTGTCGGCCTGAAGAGTTCTGATGAAGGGTGAAGTTGCCTCGTTTGTAGCCAATTCACTGGCTGATCACTTCACATATTCTTCTTCTGATTTAATCTCTCCCATCCCTCTCATGTTTTCCGGCTCGTTACACCGCCTCACCTTTCCTCAACCCATCCTTCCCAGAATCTATCGTTTTCCTCAGTCTGTCCTGACACATTCTTTCAAGTTTATCATTACTTCTGTTGAGCAGTGCTTGGAAAGATCAACAGCCAAGGATGGAGTCAGAAGACGACGTATCTCAGTGTCAAAGTCCCCAAGACTCCGAGCAAGAAGATGATGATGGCTCACTTCGGCCCATGTCATATACGTTCTCCTTGAGTAAAAACTATGTTCGTGATTGGAGCAACTAAGATGCCTTTCGCGAGTTGTATCAGAACTGGTGGGGATAATTCCGCACTCAAACCAGCAACTACCTACGACAGAACACTAACATCAATTGATAGGAAGGACGGCATCCTCGCTTCATTCCATTTGAATCAACACGACTTCCGACCAGAGATTCAGCAGAAGCGAACGGTGATCAGAATTTGTCTATATCATCCACATAACATGCAAGATGGAACCAGAGAGCTATTGGGCTATATTATCTGGAGGGAGAGATATGGTGGCATTGAACTGGCCAACTTTGACGCGCGATTGACCTCCCAAGACCTAGACATTGGAGGGACGACTAAGCACGGCGACAATGGCTCGTTGGCTGGCCAGCATGGAGAGGGTCTCAAGATTGCTGCTCTGGTGCTTCGTCGCGAAGGATTCCGTGTCCATTTGGCTGCGAGCAAGTACAAGTTCAACTTTGGCTTCAGAGGCAAAGGCAAGTCTCGGATGTACTGCAAGCTCTCGCCTATTCCACCGGCCACCTTGACCAGGAAGAAGGCGAACTGTCGTCGTCTTTACACAAATGGCAAGCCTGGGGGCCTGGCAAGTGACCCTGCAAGAGACGTATCCGTTTTCATTACGAAAGGACGCGGCGCAACTGGGGTGAAAGTGACTCTGGACAAATTTCAGCAGTGGAGACGTGTGGCCTTGGAGCTGGACATGCCACCTTCCGAGAGTATCATCCAAACTGAACATGGAGACCTTATCCTAGACCGCGAGAAGTACAACAACCGTATGTACCTGAAAGGTATTCTACTTTCTCGTCCTGGGTCAAAAGCAAGGGAGTTCTGGTACGGTTACAATCTCATGGCTGGGGAAACCAACCGTGAACGCCAGAGCCTAGCGAGTCCAGAGGAAGAGGCCTTGTTAGTGACCAAAATCTGGGCGTCTGCCGTTGAGAATGGTGGGCCAAGCATTGTTGAGAAATATACAGACTTGCTGAACAAGCACTATGATTGTGCGGACGTTTCCATGGCAGATAAAAAGGCATCGAAAGCCACGGCACTAGCTATTTGGGCACGGCTTGTTGAGAATGGCCGCGGAAAGTTCTACTATGGCCTCGGATTGAATGAGACAGTATGAAACCTCTCTATGTTATCCACAAACAGAGTTGACATTCAGTTCCCATGAGCAGGACTCGAAGATAATCACTACAAGTCTTCGAAGAGAACCGGCTGGCCTATCGAAAAAGCTTTGGAATCTCTTGTCACGATACAGTCTTGTGCGAACCCCTGACGAACAGAGAGCACTTCTTTTCGAAAACTCGCAACGCTCATCGCTGCAACCAACCCAATTTTCAAAACATGTACAGCGCGGACTAGCAGGCTGCTTGGCATTGTGTTCGCAAACTCACAATCTGTCCGTAGAATACGTATCTGGAGACACCGATGTTGCCGTTCTCTTCAACCCAGACACTCGCTGTCTCAAAATACATGAGAAATACCTGAGACCCGACACAGCTCACGAGTTGGCACCTTGCCTCGCTTACCCGATGGGCCGCGCGAATCATGAGGATTCGCCGTCATTCTTCTGCGATCATATCGTCGAGGAGCTTTATGAACAAGCGCTTGAACAGGTTGTAGACCCGCCTGACCCTATTCTTGTCCGCTCATTGCGACTTGCGGCAAGGGATAGCGTTCAACTGATGCCCCGCATGATATCCGTGGACCTGTCAAAGCAGCCACTTCAGCTCAAAGTTTCTTGGAGAATCAAAGATAGCGAGTTATTGCGCGATTTTATCGGCCCGGAAATGCGTTACATTGTGACGCTTCATCGGGAAAGCACATGTTCCCAATTAAAGGAAGTGGTTTCGCATTGTGAAAGTCAGTCTTATTATCCATCCATACTATGACCCTAATTTTACTCTAACCAATAGCTAATGACAATCCTGTGGTGAAAGATGAGCTACGTAAGGACGGAGTCATGGTTGCCACTTGTGGCTGTCAGATGGCAACTACTTCGTTCAATGTTCACGAGGCTCAATTCAGCGGCCTGCACAGTGAGGAGTTATATTTTCCTCTTGTCGCAGCAGTTCGTGATATGGCCATCTATGGATTGGCACCAGATGCCGTCGCTCCAGAGCCGCGCTCATCGGGCCATGGTTTGGCAATTGTCAACATCCCATTCCATGCAAAGCCAGACGCTATTATGTATTCCGATGAGGACGAGGATCCTGAAACGACATCCATAAGACAGTATGGGCCATGGCGTCTCTGCTCTCAAGTGGTTCCTTCTATTGGTTCAACAGGTTACAGTACACCTACCGGTGATGGAGAAACAATGTCTTGTCTGCCCGTCTGCGCCCAAAGAATGAAAGAATTGGCAAAGGAGCGTGAATTGGAACATGGTAAAAGGATCGAGTGGAATGATTGGGTTGCAGATAACTTTCTGGTGCAGTTTGAGAAGCTGATTTTCCCTCGAAGATCTCAGGTAAGCTCAGTTGCCATGCTCTATTACTGCTCTTCATGTTTTACTGACTTTCCGTCTCCTAGTTGCCTCGTGCAAGTGCTGTCCCTCATTGGGAGTAAACCTGCCAGCGTCTCAATCACGCTTTTGTACGGGACGAATACTCGCAACTCACACTGAAACCGTCAGGTGGGCATGCAGCAAACGTACAGTGTATTTTCCTGGTGCATGACATTCACCGGACCGAAAGCCCTTCAGGCGACTCTGAGAGCATTGCATTACTAGGGTCTCTTTATTTATTTCAGTCCACGAGCCCCCCTTTCTCTTCGAGGTTCACACTCCCAGTCCGAGAAAATGAACTTGTTCTGCAGTTCCACGACTTTGAGACAATGGGCCAGAAATCAGATGGAGAAATCATATTTCTTGATGACATTACACAAGCCCAGGCACTGCCATCTCAAGACTCTGTTCTACATTTGCTCCCTGCCGCAGATGGTAGGTCTCCCAAGGCGCCAAGTCCGATCGTCTCTTTTTCCTACTAATCAAGCATGCAGAACCTCAAAGTGCCGCTTACTTCTGTCGCTTTGCTATCCGCGATAGAAGCGATGCGAACGCAGCTTGCATCACGCCACTAAATTCTGGGTTACTTTCCCGTCAAGATCGATGGAAGCGCCCTCGTTATGCGCCATCCAAGCCTATTGTCATTGACCTCAGTTCACGGGATCTAGGACTCGCTGAAGGTTTTTCCCAGGCTGAATTTGACATCATCGCTGGTTTGGAATTCGACTCGGAACAGGACATGAGTTGGAGGGTAAATTTGCAATCCCCAGATCTGACCCCACCAACCCTCATCGCTAGATCTAATCATGATGATAGACCAGGTATCCTACAGCAACTATTTACGATGAAAGTCCGCCGTCTGTTCTTTCGCACATGAGACGCGGAAAATTGCTGCCTCCTCAGGACGTGAAAGCTGGCGTTCCAAAAGTACTGATCTTCTCGGAGACTGGGCCATTGGTCATCGGAGGTGGTGAAGACCCCGACTTTGACCTGCCCCTTCTGAACATAATCAATGAACTGAATGCCAGCGAGGATGACTTTGACTGTCTGGTCTCTATACAGCCAGCAGGAATTCTGCATCCACGGTACCTTCCTTCCTTTGCAAAGGCTGTTCTCGAACTCCTGAAGAAACGACACTCAGTGCATGTTTTCAGCGTCCGTCTACCAGATCATGGGATCTCGAACAGTCAGACATACATCGTCCTGCTTGCCTCTCCCATCTGCTCCGACGTCCCTTGGCCTGCGACCCACCTTGACACAAAGAGCATCGAAGAGCAGATCGGCCATCTCAAGTCTAAGAACCCTCGGGCGGATGACACACACCCTACAGCAGGGAAACATGTATTCTTGAATCCTGCGGGTCAGGTCAATGTCTACAACCATGGCACCGGTCAGCTGCCTGATGCGGCTGACAGGCCGTACTTTAAAACCGTCGACTTTGAGAGCAACATCATCTTGCCAACACTTTACAGCGATCACGGCTGGCTGCACCCTAGTAAGTCGCTGTTGCATCGTGATTGACCCACCGCTAACTGGCAACAGCTCGCCACGATATTCTCACGGTGCGCGAATGCGCTCGCATCCAGGGGTTCCTGATGATTACATTTTCTATGGCGCTGACAAGGCTCTTCGTTATCAGATCATTGCATCATTTCCGCCGCCTATCGCGCGGGGCATCGCGGAGGCAATTCGTAAGATCATCAAGGAGCATACGGCGCCCGGATTGGATGCAAGCACATTTGCTGCTCTGAATCTGGGTGGGCGACCGCAGAAGAGGACTCGAGTGGATTGATTGATGCCTGACGCATGGGTCAGCCCAGCACGCATTTGCAGTCAATTGTGATTGGTGTTATAGCACAGGCTTTGGACATGATCTTTCTTCAGCGCTCGAACTCTGTTCCTCTCTTGGATACTCCCAAAATCTGTAAAGCATCAGAAAGCAACTGAGTGTATTATCTGTTGTGCATGGAATTGCAATACGCAGGATATTTATTGGACTTGGTCAGCTTTATCACTAACAGTCGAGTTTAGCACTCTTTGAGTACATTTCCTTCGTCCCACCACCCTGTCGTTTTAATATCTGTCATAATTCCGCTCAAAATCTGCTAATCGATTGCGAGTTGCGTAACGTAGGGTCCTTCTTCCCTAGCCACCCCAGAGTAAAATAGACCTTTCATGCGGCTATTAAGTCCATACGCTAGATGGTCAGCATGATATACTGCACATCAAGCAAACGAAAGCAAATTTCATTACTCATGATCACATCTAAACAACATAGACTCCACCCGCTTCCACCCCTTTCACGACCAATACTCAGCAAAGCGACTCTCCCCGCTCACCACCTTGATAAACTCCTCTGCGATGATCTGATCCGTCCGCGCCGACGGATGCAGCTGATCAAACCACAGGAACGAATCCGGGCTGTCCGACTTGGTACAGTCCGTCCCATTGATATTGCAATGATACTCGAACCCGGTGACATTCGCCGGCGCACTCCCATTCAGATACTGTGTAGGGTTGTAATAGATCTCCGAAATCTGCCACCTTTTGCATCAGCACTCCACTTTACCCGCTCTGTAGCACTTTCCCCAAACAACCTTCCTCCTCCCATCCCCATTTACCCTCCACCCCAGATAAAAAAAAGAAAAGAGGAAGAGAACCCACCAAAGAATAAACATCAAAAACGGCCACCTGCACCCCGGGCCACCGCTTCTTCACCAACACCTCGACGGGCGTCCGATACCGAAACGCCTCGTTCACCAGGACGACCTGGCCCTCCATGCGGCCACTGATCTCCGTCAGATTCGCCGGCTTATCCTTCCAGTAATTATTCGGCCCGACCCCGCCGTTTTCGGGGGTCGCGTACAGCGGCGCCAGCTGCAACGGCACCACATTCATGATCACGAAGTACTTCGCTGCTCTGCTGCTGCTGCTGCTGCTGGCACCCTTCTCCTTCTGCGTTGATTTCCCGGTGGTGGTGGTGGTGGTAGCGTTATACACCCCATCCAGCGCACGATACACACAGTCCAGATAATCCACCAGCGTGGCATTGTTCAGCTGCGAGTCCGTGAGGAAGGCATTGTTCCCCAGATCGTTGGTGCCGATCCAGATGGCGTAGACGGTTTCGTCGGCGGAAATGTCCAGGAACCATTTGTTGGTGGGAGGGTCGGTGTAGGCCGCGGCGTCCGCGGCGAAGGCGGGCACCTCGTAGTCCAGCACGGAGGGGAACAGGTAGCCCGCCGTGGGGTCGTAGGCGCGCGCGACGATCTCGTTGGAGCAGGTGGCGCCCGCGACGGCGTAGTTGTACCGGTTTTTGGTGGCGCCGTGGAAGGTCGAGACGTAGTGCGGCCAGGTTGGGCCGCCTGAGGAGGAGATGTTGGCCTGTTTTTCGTGGGTTAATTGGTGTCATGAAGGGGGAGATTGGGGGGTTGGGGTTGGGGTTGTGAGGGGTAATGTGTATGTCAACTTACGTCTGGTTCAACCCATCCTACCGGAGGAGCGGAGTCATTGTGTGTGGAAAAGTAGGCAAACCGTGTATCGTCGGTGTAGCTATCCCCGAAGGTGACTAGAGTGGTGAATTTCCGCGGCCCCCAGGCTGAGGCGGATGCCTCGAGCCCTAAGAGCAGCAGCACTAGCGGCGGCAGCAGCACTTGTCGCATAGTGAGGGGGGAAGGCAAGAATTCGGGATATGTTGAGGTGGAGGTTCAAGAACTTCAATTACCAGCGCTGGGTGTATTTATATTCTGTCCAAGTCCCTGTGAGACTCCCTCTCTCGCCCTTTAGTCGAATTTGTGCATCATAATGTTGGAAAAAGTGTCGCGGACGGTCGGGATCCCTCCCTATTTAGCCGGCTGCGGATGCCGCATCCGGTGTGTGTGTGTGTGTGTGTGTGTGTGTGTGTGTGTTGTTGAGGTGGTGATAAATTACTCTCCCCGCAGCTTGCAAACTGCCTGCAGCACACATTCGATAGCGGGTAACTTAATTATGTTGATCGCTTGTTGTGGTTTGCGGAATTTCGGTCAAGTATGAGCTGGTAGGATGCTGCAGGCGTGGCTTTTATCCGGTACGCGAGGGGGAAGGAGAAGCTGCAGTGCCCGGTTGAGTGTCAGGCGGTGGACCATTTTACCCCCGCATGGAATCAGGTCATTTTGTAGAAGAGGTCTCCCGCGTCAGAAAGGCTTAGCCTGAAGGTTATCCTGTTTGGTTCTGGGTAGTGTGATTGCATTGCTGGTTAAGCGAGGTGCAAGCTGTTGATTCCTTTCCGGACAAAAGGGTTCGCTGTGGCCCTTCTTTGTGGCGGCGCATCTGGACATGATTCTTTGTGAGAAATGATTAGAGCTTGTGAGACAGAAGGAGAACATTATTGGTGTATTGTGAAGCTCTGACCATAGCCTCCCAGTGCCTGTGCCTGTGCCTGGCGAGGTTCTTTGTTGAAGTTGCTGCTGCTCCTGTGCTTACCAGGGTTCGATGAACTCAACCTAGGCTTCCAGTTAGTTCTTGCGGATAGCGTTCATGGTACGCCTCAAGCCAGAAAACACTATGTGCCAAGCTACAGCTTTACAAAATCCTGCCAGATTGGCTGAGAACTTGGTTGTTCCATTGACTGTGTCACTCAATTAGGCTCAATTAGGTCCATTACTCTCATTTGCAAAGGCCACAGCTCCATTAATTGAAAATCATTTCTTCGTTCATCCAACAGCAATACATTCCAGAATCATCAATATTTGAACCGGCAGTCAAACTTGCAAACCCCACGACAAGGAAAGCGCGCGGATTTTGGAGGTCAAACTGAGATTCTGCGATATCGAACCAAATGCGCCCGACTCCAGTCTATCCAATATCCCCAAATTCGCGAGACAACCCCATCAGAATGTATTCAAGCCTGATTGCAACCTGAAAACTCCAAGCCATAATCTATCTACCATTTCGATCAGCACGTCATCTTCATCCAACAGATGAGAAACATGCTCACTGGGTGCGTGTCTTATTGTTTTGTCTCCGTACAATCTCGCGCCTCGTGGCCCCGTTGATGGCAGTTGCGACAGATCTGGTCGGGACAGGCGCGCGCGAGGTGGCCCAGCTTCAGGCAGGTGTAGCAGCGCGGGACGGGGCATTCCTTGGTGGGATGGCCCTCGCCGCCGCAGTTTTCGCAGCGGTCCATGAAGTGATTGTCTTGTTCGATGAGGTAGGTTAGCGAGAGGGGAGCGGGAGACGTAGACAAGCCCCAAATGTCTGGGAGATGAAGGGTGATGAAGGTTGCTGCGTCAGGAAGATGTACGACGGCCTTATTAAGTGGAGCAATGTGTGTGTTGACGGTTCGCCACGGGCCTTGGGGAATTCATCGAGGTGTGTCTGCTGCTATTGCTGATGTGATCGCTTTGTTCAGTACTTGCAGGACTGAGAATAGTATCTGGATAATAAAAGCCGAACATGCAGCGAAGCGGAAGATCAACGATCAACCCGGGGCAGTGAATGATTGACGATCATCGCAACGGTCGGGGGTATTAGTCTACCGGCAAGTGGAGGAGGATGGCAGTGTAACGGTGGCAGCTCGATTTCCGCATTCGCATCCGCATTCCTTGATGTCATGACCTGCTCACTGCCATTGAGGTCGAGACTAGAGCTTGGACAATTTTATTCATATCGGCGTTGTGAATAATTATGCATATGCTTGGTCATGAAGCAGGATAACTAGGATGAGGAGTTAGACCAAGATTTGGGAAGGTACAGGACCCAAAGATAGGGAGCGGCGATCTCTCTTTTTGCTCTCTCTTTGCTCTCTCCCCTCGGCCGGCCAAGGCAAAATGCGGGGAAGGCAAAAAGACCCTCTCCACAATCACCACCACCACCACAACAACAACGGGCTGCCTCGGTTATTTCACCACCACTGATTTTACTACACTTTGCATACTACAGTCTTCCTAAATATGTGCTATTGGAGCATTGATGTACACAGTCTAAGTTTTTCCCATACTCTGAAACAGACTTGATGGAAACTCTCAGCCACATCAGATAATCACCGTCCATGGGTTTGTCCAACCGGTTCCTTGCGAATTGCATCAATCCATCCCATTTACACAAAAGCCTCGGCTTTCCCGCCGACAAGGAGAAGCTTTCCCCGCAAGACCCCCCCCCCTTCCCCCCCCCCGGCCGTATACTTATTGCTCCTTCTCCCCATCTTCCATTTAGCTCATCTTTTAGTTTCTTTTCTCTCTCTCTCCAACTTCCCCTAACCACTTCCCTTCTCACCAGCGACCACCTCCGAGCAAAACCGGAACCATGGTTTTCGGTCCCCCCAAATCGGCCGGCAAATTGTCGCCCATTCCCGACAGTATCTCCCTCGCTGAGTTCATGCTCACCGATCTCCACGGCCGCAACCCTCTCGGCTACTCGCAGAACCCTTTCACTTGTGGAGTCACCAGCAAAACTTATTCATGGCTGGATGTGGTAGAGCGCGTCGAGTATCTGGCGCGCTCGCTCTCGAGCCAATTCAACTGGCAGCCCAATGCAGGCAGCGAGTGGGATAAGACCTTGGCGATTTTCAGCGTGAATACCGTACGTCGATCCAGTGGATAGAGATGGGTTAGGTAGCTGACACCGTTTGCTTCTTCTGCTTCCTAGATCGATACGTTGACGCTTTCATGGGCCGTGCATCGACTGGGCGGAGTAGCCAGTCCCGCTAATGCGGCCTACTCGGCCGCTGAGCTCAAATATCAGCTGCAGGACTCCAAGGCCACTGTGCTATTCACATGTTTGCCATTGTTGAAGACGGCGCTGGAAGCCGCCGATGCTGCCGGTCTTCCTAGGGATCGCATCTTCTTGCTCGAGGTGCCCGCACAACTCACCCCGGGAGCCAAGGCTTCAGCCGAGTTCAAGACGGTGGATCATTTGGTCGAAGCAGGGAAGTCGTTGCCAAAGGTTGAAGCTTTGAATTGGGGCCCTGGGGAGGGGGCTCGTCGGACGGCGTTCCTGTGCTATTCCAGTGGCACGTCCGGGTTGCCGGTAGGTGGCTACGATGGCAGACCTGGTCCCAGAAGCAGAAAATAAAAGGCTAATGGTTGGAGTGGCTGGCAGAAAGGAGTCATGATCTCACATCGCAACGTCATCGCCAACGTACTACAGATCAAAGCATTCGAGCAAGATTACCGCGATTCGCGCAAGGATCCCGGAACGCAAAGTGAACCGACCGATGTTGTGATGTGCTTGCTCCCGCAGAGCCATATCTACTCCCTCGTGGTGATGTGTCACGCTGGGCCGTGGAGAGGGGATAATGTAGTGGTGCTGCCCAGATTTGAGCTCGATTCCTTCTTGGCTTGTATTCAGGATTTCAAGATCACTTCGTTATTTGTGGTGAGTGATGCGCGGATGAGACCACGAGACTCTGTATGCTGACCAGAGCGCTGTGTAGGTCCCTCCGATCTTGATCAACATGATTCGCAATGCGAGGACTTGCGCCAAATACGATCTCACTGCCGTCAGATCCGTCTTCACCGGGGCTGCACCGCTGGGGATGGAAACCGCCGAAGAGTTCCAGAAGCTTTATCCGACGGTGACGATAAGACAAGGTTATGGTAAGAGAATACAGGTGCCAGCATCCGACTCGTCCTAACACCGTACAATAGGTTTGACGGAAACATCGACGGTTGTCACCTCCACGCATCCTTGGGACGTATGGTTCGGCTCCTCCGGCACGATCTTACCCGGGGTGGAGGTCAAGATAGTAACACCAGAAGGCGAAGAGATTACAAGCTACGATACTCCCGGAGAGCTCGTCGTGCGCAGCCCAAGCGTTGTATTGGGGTACTTAAACAACGACAAAGCCACCAAGGAAACATTCAAAGACGGCTGGATGTATACGGGCGACGAGGCCGTTATCCGCTTGAGCCCTAAGAAGACCGAGCACGTCTTCATTGTAGACCGCATCAAGGAATTGATCAAAGTCAAAGTAAGTTGCGCGATGCTTTCGACCCTTGCCTATGCTATCATGCACCATGGTCGCTGACGTGTCACGCCTACATAGGGTTTGCAAGTTGCGCCGGCTGAGCTGGAGGCCCATCTTCTCACGCACCCTGCCGTGGCGGATTGTGCGGTGATCGCGATCCCCGACGATTCCGCTGGCGAGGTCCCCAAAGCGATCGTAGTGAAGTCCCCGTCCGCCACGGGCAGTGATGAGGAAGTGATTCAGTCGATCAAGAAGCACGTCGAGGAGCACAAGGCCCGGCACAAATGGCTCAAGGGTGGGGTACGCTTCCTCGATGTCATCCCCAAGAGCCCCAGTGGCAAGATCTTGCGGCGTTTGTTGCGCGACCAGGAGAAGGAGGCCCGCAGACAGGCAGGCTCGAGACTTTGAGCTTCGTGTGCGCTTGGGGCAGCGATTGGAATAGGAAGCTTTTGCTATATGAAGTTTGCGAGGTAGACATCACTAGATATGTGGTCATGTGTAGATATTTCATTTGGATACATATTTTACAATTGAGCAATTCGCAATTCCAGTTCATACTATGGTACAACAAAGTACTCCGTACATATTCGGAAAGATCTGGCTCCTTCTCCGCCGGCTTAGAAACCATCGAGGCAACTTTCAATGGATGTTTGCAGTGTTTGGCTGGATCGCGGGGAACAAATGAATTTCTAAGCGGGGTGGTTGACCGGGAGAATT